TTCTGGCTCTGAAAGGTACCACAAAATAGGGCATGGCACAGTATCATGGGTGTATATGATCTCCATTATGTGGCCTCAACAGGTGTGTCACGAACTGGAAAAAGAAGATTATCTGTTGCCAGAAGAGTATGAGCCATCACTGGCTCATCCTTCCCAGCCACTGAGGTGGTGACAGGGGGCTAATCACAGCCTGTCCCAGTGCCCTCAGATCCAACAGCAGCGCAGCAACAATGCCCCTGCAGCCCTAGCCAGGCTTCACTGTGCAGTGGCACCATGTTCCCCCAGCTCATTCTGTAGTTGGAGCTGGCTCTCCATTTTTGTCATCATCTGCCAAGCTGCAGCCAGCACAAGAACTGAGCACATTTAGGTATCAGTTGTGGAGACTCAAATCCCAAGCTCTGCTTGCTGTTTCTCCAGTATCTACTGCTCTGAAGTGAGTCATTGTATCTAGGGCCAAGAGGGGCCTTCTGATAGACCCCCAGGGCACAGTGCCCAGCCAAACCTTCCTTTCCCCATCAAAGCATGTATAACCTTGCAGGGAGGAAAATGAATAAATCAAGCTTTGGCACCAGTGCTCAGAATGCTACTCCTGAGCAAAGAGCGCCACACAGATAAATCAGGCCGCAGATGCCCTACCATAAAGAAATACAGGGGGAATAAATTAAGGAAGAGCAGTGCTTTGTCCTGCCAAAGATGCTCCCATATCAGCTTCAGGAAGGGGATTAACAGTCAAACTTGTAAGGAGTGACAGCCTTCAGCTAAGAGTAAAGGATGAAGGTGAATTTCCTGACTTCATGTAAAACCAGAGAGACCCTTTTCAATAACCACCTCTCTTCCACATCCCCAGCCTAACCCATGTCTCTTACTCTAACTAGGAAGACAGTGACTTGAAGGATGGGGTGGAGCTGCTACTGGAGATGTTTCCTGCCTGTACAGTGGGCCAGGCGGAGAAGGCACTGTCCATGGCCCTGGGGAACTTGGAGGAGGCAGTGCAGTTAATTGTGGAAGAGAAGGTGGAAATGGGCACAGCAGGTGTGAGCATGAAGGTATCGTACTCTCAACTAGGTGGCACCAGGCCAAAGTGGTGCCCAGGGACATACAGGTATGCCAGGTCTGCATGGCAGCTGCAAGCTGAAACTTTGACTGTGGGAACTTTCCATGCTCCCAGCCAAGAGCCAGGGAGGTCACCCAGAACCCACTCCCTCTCCCAGCTCTCTGGAGGACAAGCTGTGCCCACAGCCAAGCCAGAGAAGCTGCATGTCTGGCACCCCTCTTCTCACATGGGTGGCAATGCTGCATCAGCAACTGGACTCAGCTGAGCTAGCAGGGGAGCGGGGGACACAGCCCGTGTGCTACTCACCTGCCTCCTTTGTCTCCTCCCAGGAACTGGCACGGCCCCGCAGAACGCCCAATCACGAGGAGCTAAAACAGGTTATCTTGCAGAAGTAAGTATCCAGCAGCAAGGATCCCCTTGTAGGCTTACTCTATTTGCAATAAAGGAGGATGCAGCAGGTCAGGGCAGATGACCAAGGTCAGAATAACAGTATCAACTATAAAGAGCTTAGGCTGCACGATGCTTAGAAAAGATGCTGTGAAGCTGATTTGGGCGTAGCTGAAGCATCTGAGCATAAGTATAATCCAGGGGTGCAAAAACAGGTTTGGATTTCCCTGCTTCCTTTGAGCTCTAGTATACAAGCAAGCTATCAGCATCAGCTGGGGCACAGCAACTGGCTGGTTGAGAGACTTCAGCCTTCTAGAGATGTTCAGTAAGTCACAGTGTTGTCAGCTGAGGTCCCAGTTAAAGACTAAAGGCACAGACATCATGCTGCAGCTCAGGTAACATGGGGAACTTATGAAGCTACAGCAGATCATTCATATCTCAGTCCTTGGAGACAGTCTAAAGAAAACTAAAGATTTCTGTAAGGGACTACCTGTACAACAACACTGTGAAGATTAAATCTCAGTCACTGACAGCATGAATTTGGCCTTTCTAAAGAATCCTTTCTGAAATCCCCTTCTAGACTTCCTGGGAATGAAAATGGCTTTAGATGGGTTTAATTTTATTCACTTCAAAAAGCCCTTTAATTCTCAATAGGAGAACACATACTCTGGTTTAATTGATTTGCTTTAAGATCTCAGCTTCCATGAGTGTCCTCCTGTGGGCATGCAGACTCCACATGCCTATCCAGCCATGGCTTTTCCACTATTTTACATCCTCTCTAGTGAGAGAGGAGAGGAGAGAAAAAAAAAAAAAAAACAGCTGATGGTCTAGGGAAGATAAAACAAGGAAGAATGGCATCCAAACCGAATTAACAATTCCTGTCCTTTCCTATATTATGTGCAGACTTACTTCAGAGCAGCACATAAGGGAACAAAAAGTACCACCTGCCAGTTATGTTTCTGGGAACTTCACTTTAATGACATTTTGGCAACATCCTGTGCTTTAAACATCACTCAAGCACAGGTACAGAGAGCAGATCACCATAGTTGAATATATACAGGAGCAACTATATTAATTACTGAGGGAAAAAAAAAAAGTCACAGTCAGCTGCGCTGTCCCCCTATTAAACCAGCTCCAAAGTCTCAAGAGCAGTAAGTCAGCAGTACAGCAAGCAAGTATTTGGGCCCTGGTGTGTCAGTCACACAGGGAATGAGGTGGTGCCTTTATGCAGTTGCTTTCCGCTCAGACACACTCCCTAGTCGAGCAGGGCATGGAGCTCTAAAGGCACACGATCTCCTCCGGGCAGGAGCAGCAGCTCAACCCTGGGCAGGGTGACTCTTACCCTTGTCTCCTTTAGCCGCCCCCGCTCAGGCTGAAAAGGAGCAATGCTGCCCAAATGCCAGGCTGGACCTCAGCACCTCTCTTCATTCAACAGGCGCTACATTGTCTCAGCAGCCCAAGCTTTTTAGACTATCCACAAACATCCATGGATGCTACTCCAGGAGAATCCTTCTGGAATCTTACCAGAAGGATGGCAAACTTCTTTCCTGTTTCATACAGAGAAAAACCTTAAGTGCTCCTAGCTGCAATCTAGGCAAGTAGTACACTTCGCACAGCCACAAACCAGCCAATGAAGACATAGGCTCTGAGCAACTCTAGGCAATGCATGTTGCAGTATTTGCTAAGTGCTTCTTGTGTTTCAGATACATGATGGTGGATAGTGCTGAAGATCAGAAAACACATCGACCAGCTCCACCAAAAGAGGTGAGAAGAGTTGGTGGCCCAACTCACTAGCATTTTTTAAATCTAAAAAGCTGACTGCAAGCCCAAAAAGCAGAAGGGCAGTTGCAAGGAAGAAACATTCACAGGGCTACTAGCTAGCACAGGGGAAGGATTAGTTTAGCAAAGAGGTGCTGCAACATCTGCCAGCACTTAACGCCTCCTGACTAGCATGGCTGCAGCCCGCTCCCACCAAACAGCTACCCTCCCATTTTTGACTTAGACTCCCAGCTCACAGGATGGGTAACTCAGCCCATCCCACTCTGTCTGGCCACCCAGGGCATGCCTGGCCTGGGCTTGGCCCTTCTCTTTTCCCAGCTGTGTGGCTGCCCAGTCAGTGTCAATGTCTTTCTTCTCCAGGCTCCTAAGAAGTTGATCCGCTATATTGATAACCAGGTGGTAAGTACAAAGGGAGAGAGATACAAAGACATCAAGAAGCCAGAGAGCGAGGAGATGAAGCGGACTTATATCAGCCTCAAACCAGCCAGGAAGTACAAGTTCCACTGACCACCAGTCTCTCCTGCTCGCTTCTGCCTCACTGGCCCAGGCATGCAAGGATGGGCACGTGGCACTAAGGATCAGAGGAGACTCTTCCATCCTCCACTAACTGGAACTAACCTGGGAGCCAGGACACTGCTTTCAGCTTCCTCAGCTAACAAGGAGGAGCCTTCTCTCTCTAAGTGGCTGTCCCTCCCTAGATGAGCAGCACAACAGCTGTCTGGTCATGGGCCTTGCATGGGACATTTTTAGATCTAATATGTGGCTTGGGCTTTTGCAACAAGCTTCTTACAAGTCTGTGTGCACTGTTGCTTTAAGTTGAATGCCAGTGTTAATAAAGATCATGTGAGTTGGTGTGTAGCTCAGCTGGAGAGCACATGGAGAGGGCTGCCCCAACCCTCCTGGGCCAAAGATGGGAGCAGGGCTGCTCTCTTGCTCTAGCCACTATCTCCATCCTGCTCTCTACAGAAGGTAGCTGCTGTTTGGTTAACCACCGAGGGGATACAAGGATGGAAGTTGTATTCCAGACCAGAGCTAGGCCACCCGTGCCAACACAGCTTGCAGCACTCCGTAAATTGCAGTTGAAAATGCAGACAGGACCCCTGCTATTTCTCTCACCCCTGTTGAGTCTGAAAGCCACAGTGCTGTGACAGGGAGAAGGATGGAGTTCCAGCAGGCCTGGGAAAGTATAAATCAGAATCTAGAAGAAATAAGCAGTGGCCATCAACTGCTTTCAGTTTGGTGCATTTCGTCTAGTGAAGCTGCAGCAGGAGCCCATTGCCTCAGAGTACCAAGGAGCAATTTCTCCACTGCACTGGCCTGCACCAGCGCCCAGGCAAGCAACTAGGGCAGATATGTGCACTCTGGCTGAGCTCAGAGGCACCCACCCTCTCTAAGAGGAGGACTGGCAGCTTCTCTTTTCTGCTCCAGCTGGCCTAGTTTGTTCCCAGCAGTTCTTTGGGCATGCCCTGCATACCCACCCTAGGGTACAGGGGGCCACAGTCCCCATCAAACACCCTGCTGCTCCCTGGACAGCTGCCACGTAGAATGTTAAAATACAAATGAGTCTTGTCTATTGGCTGGTCTGGCCAAGGCCTGTTCAGCACCATGGTGTTCCTGCAAGTCACCCGCTCGCTCCATGTTACTGCAGAGGGAGTTACATTCACAGGAGACACCATCAGGGCGCACTCACCAACACCCAGTGGCTGCTAAGCAGCCCCAGAGAGGAGAGCGAGTCCCACTCAGGCCAGCCTCACCAACGGGACCGACCTCTCTCTGTGGGTCTCAGCAGCAACTGGCTCTGGAATCCTCCTGGGATGCCAGCATTGAATCCATCCCCCCCACCCAGCAGCCACAGTCCTAGATCTGGAGGTTAATGAAAGGGGCAAAGCCAACCACGTCCTGCAGGAGAACAAGGGCCCTCTGCAGCGGAGGCTCCACATCCAGCTCCACTCCACGGCCTCGGAGGATGCTCAGGCTGGACTCAGCCACATTGTGGCAGTGCTTCACCTTGAGCGAGCGCAGCTTGGGACAGTACTCGGCCAGGACTCTGCCAAGAGAGCACACAGCAGTCGTCAGGACTCCTGAGCACAAAAGTCACCCTCTTCTCTACTCACACCAAGCCAGCACTCAGCACTGCCAGGCACGCAGCATACTTTGGGAGCAGCACCCCAACAACCCCAGAGGGAAACTCAAGGGACATGGGCAGGTCAAGCCGGCTATGTCCCACACTGACCCTCTATAGCAGCCCAGGGAATTTGATGTCAGCAGCAAAACATGTCCCAAAAGGCCTACCAGCAGTCTTTCCCCAAAACGTAGCTCTCATTACTTCCAACATAAAGAAACCCAACTTTTCTCTCCATGGCCTTTTTTCCTCCTTCCCTGCAACCCCACTCAGCTCCCCACGTTCCTCAGTACCTGATGGAGTCATTTTTGACTCGCAGACACCCCGTGAGGTCCAGGTGCTCCAGCTCAGGGCAGCACTTGGCGATTTCCTCCACTGCCCCATCGCCCACGTTGGCATTGACGGCCAGCGAGATAGACTTGAGCTTGCCACACTTCTGCGCCAGGTAGCAGATGGCTTCATCCTTCAGCTGGCGACAGGCTGTCAGGTCCACGGCCTCGAGCGCCTTGCAGTGGTCAGCAAGGCTGCGCAGGGACAGGCTGTCCACCCACTCGCAATGAGCCAGCGAGAGGCGGCGCAGGTGGGGGCAGCTCAGCGAGATGGCGACGAGCGCGTGGCGGCTCAGCTGGGCACAGCCCTTCAGCTGGATCTGCTGCAGGTGGTGGTTCTGCCCAATGACAGGGAGCAGCTCTCGGTCCGTCAGCCAGTCGGAGCAGTTCTGGAGCACCAACTGATGCAAAACTTCGTTGTCCTTCATTAGGTTAACGAAAGCAGCTCTGGGGATGGCAGGTCCGATCTGCAGGGGGAACCCAGGCAGAATGAGGCACTCACCAGAGTTTCAGATCAACTTGGCTCAGTCTGACTCTCACCAAGAAACTCATCCCACTCCTCTCTCCCAACGTGGCACAGAGGTGACCAGGGCCACTCTTCCCCAGTTCCTGGGCAAACCCTGCCTTAAGCTCCCCTGCCTACAACATTTAATGCCAAGGTTTCTACCACTGCCCTCAAGAAGGCACGAGCTGCTCTGGCACCACATGCCACTCATCAGCACATGCTTCACTCCATAACTCCGCTCTCCCAAAAACTTGCCTGACCATTCACATCTCCTCAGAAGAGGAGCCACTCCTGCAGCTCCCAAGCCCTCCCAGTCTCTACCAGGGCTTGCACAGGCTTTCCATCGAGAGAGGGCATGGCCTGACCTCCAGACAGCTGTGACAGGCCGTGCCACGCGGGAGCTGGCTGCCAGCCACTGCCCAGGAACAGCCTGGGTGGAGCTCCCTCACCCACTGCCCACAGCCTCCTGCTAGGGACAGCCACATTGCTGGTCCCTGAGTCACCTCCTCTCCTCCCTGAACCCATGAGTCCTGCCCAGCTTGCGAGCCTTAATCCAAGCTCCTAAGCAGAAACCAGCCCCCCTTGACAGGGCTTTCTACACCCCACAGAGCCACAAGCTCCCCGTTAGCTTGGGAGCAGTGGCACATCCAAGCATCCCCCAGCCTCTGAGCCATCTGATACCTTGCTCGAGTCAAAGCAGCGCATGTTGGCCAGAAACAGCTGGATGAGAGACTGGAATGACTTGCTGACCCTCTGCAGGCTCAGGAGCTGCTGCAGCGGCAGGTGGCAGAGGACGTGCGGAACCAGGATGTCCTCCCAGGGCAGATCCAGGAGGCATCCCCTGGATCCAAGCATCCCCCAGCCTCTGAGCCATCTGATACCTTGCTCGAGTCAAAGCAGCGCATGTTGGCCAGAAACAGCTGGATGAGAGACTGGAATGACTTGCTGACCCTCTGCAGGCTCAGGAGCTGCTGCAGCGGCAGGTGGCAGAGGACGTGCGGAACCAGGATGTCCTCCCAGGGCAGATCCAGGAGGCATCCCCTGGAGGGGGCCGCACTCATCATCGGCTGCCGGGCGCTATCCCCGCGCAGCTACTGCCGGGCACCTCTAGAAGGAACAGTCAGAGAGAGACACTCAGCACCGCCGCGGCCGGCCCGAGGGGAA